GCCAGCCTTATGCAATTTCAATAAATAAATATTCAATAAATATTCAACTCACTCATTGACTCAGCGGTTCCTCTTCAGTTCCTACCATGTTTAAGGTCCAGGATATTCAATTATCTTTGAGTCCACTTCATTTTCTCTTCATGGAACTTAATCCACATTCCTTTGAAAAAGTGAAAAGCCAAATTTCATTGAAATGTGAGGAAATCAACAGAGAGACAGAGAACAAGAAAATAAGAAGAATCTTAAAAAGTGCCTAGTTCAAATTTCATTTGATCGGTGAAGAACCTGAAGGCCAGCAGAGTAAGCAACTTTTCTTAGGTCACACAGTGAGTTAGTGGGGAAACCGAGATGGGAACCCAGATATCCCAACTCTGAGCCAGCACTCTTGTCTAAATCCAAGTGTGTTCAAGGATCCACCTCTTCTTTTGACCAAATGTGATTTCAAAATTTAAAATAGAAAAAAACAGAAACACAGGTTAAAAAAAAAAGACATATCAAAATGAGCCAACAAAGTTTGTCAAGAAAGCAAGGAGAGAAAGACACCTCCTTGCTAGTTGGAGAAACACAGTCATACTTTCATCCAGGGGTACTACATTCCAACCCTCCTTTCATTTTTGTCTGCCCTCAACAACCCATATTTAATGATGATACTTTACATTCACAGCAAACAGTAAACAACAATCCTGCAGGTTGGTGGTTGGCAATCCCTGGTCCACATGTCAAAGATGCCACAGGTGCTAATTTCAGGCGGCAAGTGAACCAGCTACCACAAACAGATTCCCCATCCCTATCATTTTCAGTAGTTACGGCCCACAACTGTCTCCACCCTCTTGCCAGTTTTCAAAGGCAACACCCTAACATGGCTTCCTGTCTGCCACCGGCAACATCCTAGCCTTCCAGGATCACAGGCTCAGCAATTTGGCACAGTCCTTTGAGAAGCCAATGACCACTGCTTCCTCTGATAGAAATGAATAAACATCCCCAGGATTTTTATATTTAGTGCTAAATTTCTACCCTAGATTTTTCCTTTCTTCTCTGTGATTTTAGAGCAATAACATATTCTTAATTATTACTATCCATCACATAAGAATATATTAAAGGCAAGAATTGGATAAATCTAATGGATAATAAGACACATAACTTAAAGAAATGAAGGGTAACACATCCCCAGGCCCATAAATTCTTGGTGGAAATTTAAATATAATGAATATTTATTTGTTCATTCAGTCGAAGTTTACTAAGTACATATTATGAACAGTCCTTATGCCAGCCATGCAGGTTATGAATAGCAGTAGATTCTCTGCAAAAGAACAATCCAGAGCTAATTTAAAGCCAGACTGCTTAGTCTTGAATTGTTTCCATCTGTGATTAATTCTGTGACCTTGGGTAAATTAATTTCTCTAAACTTTATTTCCTCATCATTGTATAATGATAGTAACAGTGTCCACTCCACAGATGTGATGTGAAGATATTATTGCAGCATTTTATGTAGTGTCTACCACATAGTAAGTGCTCAATAATTATCAGCTATAATTGCATCTCTACTATACTATAATCTGCCACTGGAGGGATGTAGAAAAGGTTAGAAATCAGAAGAGAGTTCAACACTGAAAATCTGGAAATGAGGCTAATGGATAAAGGGTCCTTTACTTGCCAACGTTTAGTGAGTATGCTAAGATATTGGGGATGAAAAGATGAACAGATTCTTGTCCTTCTCCTTGTAGAGGGATGATACATAATCTGTAAATACCAGATTAAAGATGGTACATGTTGGAAATAAAAAACCAAATCGGAAAAAAAACCTTAAATCTGAATTCCTTTGCTTTAGGAAAGGGGTCTCCCATGCTTTCTTAGTGGATAGGTTATGAAGAGGTTTAAAGAGAGAGAGGTTCCCCCTGGGGCCTTTGCCAACTGACTCACAAAAAGGTCACTGAGTCTGGTCTGCAGGCTGGATTCTGGGGAAAGCTATTCCTTCTAAGGCTGAAGGGGGGTGCAGAAGCCATGTGGGCAAAGGTTTGGGTGACTTATCAAGCCCAATGCTCCCACTGACTAAGGAATAGCTTTGATACCAGACTCAAAGTTTAGCAAGCCTGACAATATTAGAATAATTTCCGACCCAATGTTAACTATAATGATAGCAATATGTTATATTTGCATAGCACTTTAAGTCTTCCAAATGTGTCCATTTGCACCCCTCTTGTTTGAGGCCTTCAGCAGTCCTATGGGGCCACCTAGGCAGCTCTCATTCTGCATACCTGATGGATGGGGGAGAGAGACTCAGGCATCTTAGAGGATATTCCTGGGAAGAGCATGGCTGTCAAACAGTAGAGTTGGGCCTAGAACCCAGGTCTCTAGCCGCAGATCTTGCATGTTTAAGGGTCCGGGTGCTTAGGCCAACCTTAGGAGAGCACTGCCCAGAGCTAGGTGGCCACACAGGTGGCTTCTGGGGCATGCTTTCTGGGCCCCACTCTTTTTTGATGCTCCACTTTGTACCAGGAGAGCTTTTTACCTTTGAGACCTGTCCCTGGCATTACAACTCTTCACCATTTGTCTTTCTGTTGCCCTGCATCCCACCAAACATTGCCATGCGGCACCCAACACCTGTCATGAAACAGCAGATTAAAGACTGTGTTAGGCAATATGCAAATTACAAAGTATATCCAGGTTAGGTAAATTACAAGATCACTTTCTAAGGTTCTTCCATTTGGTGACCCATCAATTTAACCTTAAGTCCGGTGACACTTGTTTATTATAAGTGTGAACCCTGATCCTTATGCTGGGTTTATTGGCAGGATTTCTGGTCGCGAGCACGGGTACCAGGGCTGCCAAACTTTCTGGATTCAGTGCTGGGAATCCACTTCCAGCAGAGTCGGGTCGGACTGGATGAGGATGTCTTGGATGGCCTTCTCGGAAGCCTCACCCCAGTATTTCTGACAATAGGCCACCAGGGCTTTGGTGACTGACTGGCAGATTGCGCCAATCTGGGCCACGTGACCACCCCCCCTCAGACTCGGATGTCCAGCCCGGGAAATCGCTCCTTGCGCAGAACAGGTTCCCGCAGCTGGTCCTGCAGCCGGCGCGGCTCATCCCCTCCAGGCGCCGCGCACTCGCCTGGATGAGGCCACTGCCACGTTTGCAGTGCGCCCAGCTGCGGCCGCCTCATTGCGTCCGAAGACCTGCCGGGGCTGCAGGGACCCTCGGACCGCAGACAAGAAAGAGCTGCTTCACCCCCCCACCCCCACCCCGCAGCACTGCCCCGGGAAGAGGACTCTAGCTGCGTTCTTTTGCAAACATAAGTACCTTTTCTATCCGGAGCCCAATGCCTCTCTTTGGTTGGAGGTTGAAAGTTTCTTACTCTCTTCCTCCATTTCCATTTCCTGCTTCTGAAATTTCACAATCTCTTTGACTTTAATTTAGTGGTTATGCCTATGGGTTTGGCAGATTACCTAAGTTTGATCCTGGACTAGATACTTATCAGTTGCAAGGCTTTGGTTAAGTTACTTAATCTCCTTGTGTCTCTGTTTTCTCCCCACAAAGAGTGGTTAATAGTCCCTATCTCATAGGGTAGTTATGAGGATTAAAAAAGATAATACTTACAAGGTACTTAGAATAGAGTGCTTCACCATAGTAAAGAGTCCGTAAGTGTGTGTGCCCATGCATGCACACGAATGTGCATGAACATGTGAGTGGTGTGTGTGAAACTAGAGATGCCTTGGTTCTGTGTCTTGCCACCAGCTGAGCTCTAAACCAAACCTCTCACCTCACTGAGAATAGCCTCCATTCCTACCCTCTCTGTGCTCAGAAGCTCCTAATGTTCTTTGTGACCATGACCAGAGGAGTCACCAACCGGGACAAGAGACCTTCTCAGGCCCAGCCTCATTGCAGCACCTATTAGACTGAGAAGAAACCTATATACACTTAGAATATACTAGGTTGGGATAGGTTAGCCTTATTCTTAATTTGGTCATATTGATAATGATGTACTACATTATATAAAGAAGGCTTGGGAGTCAGATCATTGGGGCATGGGTCTAGCATTTGCCATTTGCTTTAATGTTTACATCTGTAAAATGGGACGATAATGAGAAATGGGTTTTTATGATAAAAATGAGGTGATCTCTGTAAATTAGCCATCTATGTGCAGCGGATGGCACGGAGTAAGTACATGGTAATAACGTTGACTACTATTGTTATTGTTAAAACCTTTTTTTCCCATTCAGTTGCCTCTACTTGGGGCTTTCTTTCACTACCCGATCACTGAGAGCTGGACTGTAGCACTTGCTAACTCCTCCTAGTGAAGAGTATGTGTTTGTCCAGAGAGAATCACAGATACTCTTCTTAAGCAGGTGAGAAGAGTTTATAAACAAGTGACCACCAAAAGCCCAGGGCAGGCTGGAAAGTGGATTTCATTGGGTGATTCCCTGGGATGCCAGCTGAATGTGTGCAGACTTACTTTCGGACCACAGAAATTTATAAGACAGATTATAAGGTTTAACAAAATCAGCGTTCCCCTAAGTCTAAGTAGGCATTTAGGTACATTTACTATTTATAAGTGGAAGTACAATTAAGGGGAAACATCCTAATATGGAGTAAAAAGGGAAAAAGGTATCAACAGGTCCTAAGTCTCTGTGGCTACAATATTTTAAAAAATGGTCACTGACGTGGCTACATCCGGTAAAGCCTGCATTCTGCTATTATTGAGCACACCTGATGAAGTCACAGGTAGAGTGTCTATTTTAACCTTTTGGGACCCACAGCAGTGGATGAAGTCAATTTACTCCTCTAGGTGCTCTCAACTGACTGTGCAGTTAGATGAAAGAATATATTTGATAGAATTACATATAATGAATGCAAAAAACCCCAAGTACTTTCTGAACAGAAAAAGGGAGTGCTTTACAGAATCTCTTGGATTATTCAGTCTCAGATATGAAGAGTGAGAAGCTTAGGTGGTACACAGTACCCAAGGCTCCAGGGAACTACTGAGCCTAGGGATTCCAATGTCACTCCAATTGGGAATGACCTTCCTTGTACAGCGCTCTCCTCAGGGCACCCTTGACCTCTGCGTTCCTCAGGCTGTAGATCAGTGGGTTCAGCATAGGGTTGAAAAAACTGTAAAACAAGAAAAGGATCTTCTGCTGTTCCTCAGGATGGTGGGATTTGGGGGCCATGTACATGACAATGGCACTGCCAAAGAAGAGCCCCACCACACAGAGGTGGGAGGAACAGGTGGAGAAGGCCTTTCTGCGGCCCTCCCCGGACCGGATCCTCAGGATGGCAAACAGGATGTGCATATAGGACACCAGCACCAAGCAGAGGGGCCACAGTAAGATAAACACACAGGCCACAAAGATGACCACTTGGTTGAGCCTCGTGTCAGCACAGGCCAGCTTGAGGACGGACAGGATTTCACAGAAGAAGTGGTTGATTTCATGAGGCCCACAGAAGGGCAACTTCAGGATGAGAACCACATGGACCAGGGCCAGCAGGAAGCCACATGCCCAGGAAGTCATCACCAGGGTGACACAGACCCTCCAGCTCATGATGGCAGAATATCGGAGGGGGTGGCAGATGGCCACAAACCGATCATAGGACATCACCACCAGAAGAAGACATTCAGTATGAGCAAAAGTCAAGCAAAGAAAGGTCTGTGTCCAGCAGCCAGCAAAGGAGATGGGCTTGTCTGGCTTCAGGAGGTTCACCAGCATCTGGGGCACGGTGTTGCAGGCATAGGCTATGTCGACGATGGCCAGGTGGGAGAGGAAGAAGTACATGGGGGTGTGCAGTC